ATGCTTGCAAGGTCATGGGTTTAAATGGAGGTGGCCGTGGGTTCTGCCTTTCATGTTCTTGAGCATACACAGTTGTTTTCAACATCACAGCTTTATATTTTATACCAGTGATTGCTTTAAAGTCGCTTTTGTAAACTGAAATTCTGAGCAAGTCATCTTAATAGCAAACAAAGAAGTGTGCTTTCTGGTCAGGCTACAGAGGGGAAAGTCCAAGAATTTAATTACTGTCAGTGACAGCCTCTCAACTAATGCTGACATTAACAGCACAGTTATCTGTGGTTCATAAGGTATGTTACTGAATTCTCTTCATGTCCTGGAATGCTTGTCTAGCCTCCAGATGATGACAGAATTTCACTGGGAATCTACACTGGATAAAGACAGGATGATTCACACAATTGTTAAAATAGTTGACTTCCCCGTAGTCTGTTTGGTAATGTTGTTCTTGCTATTATCAGGTTTCAGTGAGTAGGAAAAACCTGTTTTTTCCCACATACACAGAAATAAATCTAATAAAGTAGGCTGCTGTGACTATATTCTTGCAGACTGTTTGGGATTGATGCAGTATCACTGCACGTTAGGAGATTCTTTGGCTCTTGTAATTTTTTTTTTCATCCTTTAGAATGTTAAATATGTTTTAAATAGAATTTGTTGATAAGTTGTACAATATTGGATTATTCCAGTTCTGTAATCTGTTGCTTACGTGTTGAGAAGATAGATGTTCTTGATAAGTTTGAGGGCTATAAGTTTAGAGAGATAAAATTGGAAATTATCTCCTGCCCTGGAATACCTAACCTGTCACACCTTTAATAAAAATGAGGTCTATTTAGTTTTCTGGATTTGGAAAGTGACTGACTTCTCGCAAGCAGCTGGAGACTTGTAAGCAGTTGAGATTTACAGCTGTACTGGCAAAAGGACTGGTTTATCTTCTGAACTAGCAGGTGAACCAGAGAGGAGCCATCATATCTGGGCTGCCTAGATCCAGCTCACATCCAGCCCTTACTGTATCTCCCACTTGTCATCTTATATTTGTATAAGTGTTCCTGGAGCTTTGCTGTGCCTCTGTTCATCACAGCCTGTGACATGTCAGTTATGACCTTCAGCTGTAGAAGTGCATTAGTGTTAGGGTTACGCTCTCAGGAAGGTTGTCTACTCCTCCCTTTGGCTTTTTCTTTTGTATTGCTATGTCCCTTTCCAGAAATATATGGGACATATTTTGCATGTGGACAGAGACCTGGGCCTCAAACATCCTCCCAGATACACTGTCAGGTCACAATTTCAGACTTGTAGCTGTTTGTCAGTAATTTCTGGATGTCCAGAAATTGCTGACTCTTTCATTGCCTGTGTGTGGTAATTCCAGTGTATTCTGGATGAAAGCATCAGTCAAGCAGTCCATGTGCTGGAGACCTGATGTCTGGCACACAGGTCTGTCTTTGAAATTCCAGAAAAAATATGGTAACATTATTCCATGTTGTTCCTAAATTTTTTTAAGACAAAATATTTTATTTCAGAAAAAAAACCTTTGGGGTTTGCTCCTCTGTTGGAATTCTGGGTTTATATCTGCTTTTGTTGTTTCTGAACAGAGCAGTATAAATATTTTTTTCTTATTATTGATATACCCTACTGGTTGCAAATTTTAGCTTTGATTTATCTTATCCCACATAATTCACTGCAGAAATATTGAAAGCAAAACCACTATCCTGAGTATCAAGGCATACATACATAAGGGAAGCAGATTAATAAAGTGTAAGCAACTTGTGATTTGGAATTTCCCAAGTCCTGGATGCTTTGCTTTGCAAGCTGGTGTTCTTTTCCTGAGGAATTTTTTCAGGAAACTTCTTAACTTTTTTTGATTTTTCTAAATGGAAGGATAAACAAATGGATATTATATATTTTGTACAACAGTCAACTAAGGATGTTGTTGGGTTTTGGCACTAGAACTGTTAATTCGTGTTCCCTAAATCAAATTTTTATATAGTCCAACTGAAATTGGACTCTGTCCACAGTGTTAGTTATATGCTTGATTTCTTTTCTCTGTATTGGTAAGTATTCCTGCTAAGATCATTATCTTGTGTATTTTGGGTTATCTCTACAACTGGAATGTTTCCATAATCTTTTTGTATTTAATCATAGTACTAGTTGGATAAAGCACTGTTTAGCTTTTAATTCTGTTTTTTCTATTAATCAAAAATTTTTTAACAAAGACCATACAGTGCAAACAAAGTCTTCTGTAGATTCTGTAGTCTAAAACAGTCTGCGTGGTTGAGTTCTCGTGTGTCAGTGTTCTCCACCCAGCAGATGTTCTTCTTAATGTCTTTCAGAAGTTTCCAAACTGCAGTGTGTGGCGAGTCGCCTGATCCATCCTGTGGTCTTGGCCTCACTTTGTTATTTCCAGATGCTTCTTGAGGTTCTCAGACCTTTCATAGCAAAGAAGGACCTAGAAGCCATATGAAATTCCCATGCTTACATTTAAAGATGGTTAGAATACACTAGATACTTCCTTTTACTATTTTTCCTGTAAGCAGTTGCCACACGGAGATTATGCAATTCTGAGTAGGCAGAGAGATGATCCACATGATTGTGAAAGTGGGGAGGGAGGGCGGTGTGAGAATATGAAGATGTAATCCACATGGTGGAAATGTTTGGCAACTACCAGCTTGAACATAAAATGGACTGCAGCTTGTGGCCTGCTCTGTCCTAGTATCTGCCAACTTTTATTGTTGTGGAGCCAGTTCAGTTCATGCTTGTTGCAACTTTATCAGTAAATAGCACGCCTGTGCCCACAATCAGAAGATGAATGAAACTCCTTTTTCCAGGGCTTTCTCTGCACACCCTGTTGGTTTGGGGTGGTTATCACTTGTACGCCTGCAGTGCGGAGAGAGCTATGCTTGCTACTTCCCTCCCCATGCGTATGCGTCAGCTGAAGAGATAAGTTTGAGCAGACAGAGATTTTCTGGATAGTTTCTGGCAAGCCTGTGGTTCAAGCAGTCCAGTTGGCAGCCTAGCCTGTCTGAACTTCCAGCATAAAGTTACCTGTGTTTACTAGAGACTGCCAAGCAGCTAGCTGTTGGGTTGAGAGGTAGCTAGTGGGCAAGCCGTGCAAATGTTAGGGTGCAAACATTAGACAAATTGTTAGACAGGCCTTTGGAGAGGGCCCTTGGGAAGCAGACAAGCAATATAACTCCACAATCCTCTAAATTATGGTTATGGCCTGAGTTGTCCAAAGCTAGACTTGCTACTTCAAATGTGTTGTGGGCAGATATGAAGTTGCAAAGAAAAGCGTGAGAGGATGAGGGACGGAAGCAGAGTAAATCGTACTAAGTAGATGTACTAAAGTTGGGTGCTGAAGTGAGAAAGTGGCCTTCCTTACACAGTGAAAGAGATGACCTCATCTAGAAAGCATCTTCCAGAAAGTTTGATCCTGTGTGGATTTAGCTGAAGTAAGTATCAACTTTTTGTGGTGAAGCCAAGTCCAGCAGACATCGTGAATCAGAGCCCTCAGTCAGTGTGCATTAGCAGAACCTGAAATGAATTATGGCTTATATTAGTATACAGGACAGGGAAGAACAGTGGTTGAGGAATCGAGTGAACATACTACAGCAAAATAAGTTTTTTGGCCATAAATCTGAGCACTTGAGACACTAGAAGGTGAGTGTTTCACTGATGGATACTCCATAAAGGGAATCTAGAAAGATCATTCTTCAGCATCTAAATCGACAGCTAAGACAAGGCAGTGTGAATGCTCTCACCATGTAAGCCAGCCTAGTTGCTTTAAACAGTTCTGTTTTCACATATTATTTTTGCACAATTATACTTCATAGTACAATGAAAAGACCACCAGTGCTTCACAATCAGAAACTGGCATGATGACATTGTGATGCAGTAAATAAAGTATACCCTAATAAAGGGTGTATTCCCACAGAAACATAGCAAAGAAGGGTGCTGGGTAAACATTTGCAGTGCAATAAAAAGTTTCTAATAGTAAATACATGCTGGATAGCTTGATACAGAAGCTCAAAAAGCTGATTTGGAACAACTAGACTGCTTTTGGCACTGATTCTCTTGTTTTTTCAGACTACTACCGTATGCTTTTTTTAGTTTTGCTAATTATGTTTAACCAAGTATTTTTGGTTTGGTACTACCTCATAAAGCTTGTCTAGAATTAAAACAATATAGTAATTAAGTTTCATGTAGCTATTTACTTTCAGCTATGTTACATGGGCATGAGAAATTAAATCATCAACATGATTCCATTAAAAATATTTTATTTAAAATATAGTGGATTGAACTCCCATTTGGTATAAATGAATACTGAACACAATACAGCACTAGTAAATGCTGTGAAATCAAAGCATGGCACGCCAGAATCATCTGTGGGTGTAACACCTCATCCATCAGCAGAGTTTCCTGAAGGAAGCATTTGGCTTCCCATGTTCTTTGTTCAGAATTTTGTTACACAATCTTCCTGGTCACATATATCGAACAGCAAACTGAAATTATGCTAAGCAGCCACTAGAGCTTTCAAAAATGATACTGTTCCCTTTTAGGCATTGACTGTTTTCATGCATGTGACTGATCATAACTTTGATGTAGCAAGGCCATTCAACAGCCTTGTTGAAGTAGTTGTGTGCTCCATAAGTTTGTATAGGTCATGTGTCAAGTTGCATGGCAGCAAACAGAACATTTGGTAAAGAAGCATAAGGCCAAGTTCTGTCAGTTTAGTTAAACTAATTCTCCTGCTGTGACTGAGGATAGGATTTGGTTCCAGGCTTGCTGGCTACCAGTTCTATTATTTGGTCTCTTGAAGAAATTGTTTTCGTTGATTGCATGGGCCGGGTAAGGAAAGGATGAGTATTGCTTCATACAGATACGTTGTTATATACTTGTAAGCACGTAAGGTATAACATGCATTTATATGAACTTGCATGGGCACAGGGGTACCTTGTTCTCTGAAGGAGTATGATAAACCCATATGTTATTGTCGTTGTCTTTTTTCCTTCCAGATCAATGCAATCCGATCAATTGTTCCGAACAAAAGCAATAATGAGATAGTTCTGGTGTTGCAGCAGTTTGATAACAATGTAGACAAGGCTGTTCAAGCTTTCATGGATGGTGAGTACAGTGTACCTTTTTCACTAAGGCATGAGGAATTCAATTACACGCTAAAAAATTCATTGTCTCTAGTGGCTCAAAATATATTCTGTTGTTCTACTGAAATTCACATGACTGACACTTAAAGTCCTTTTTTTTCTTTTTTAAACATGGCTGTTTATCTGTTCTACCTGACTTTGCTGGTTTTTTGGTGCCATTCTAGTTGCAGACCTTCTTTATTCTGTGTGAAAATTAATGCTCTTAAAGTAAACATGTCAGAATATGATTCACTATTGAAGGTACAGTAACTAATAAGAATTTATGATGGTTCTGAAGCAGATAACCAGGCTCCTAAACCCCTGAACTTGATGCATACATTGACATTCAAACCTCAATCTGAATTTTGCAAGTAGGCTTGACATTTATAATGGCTAAACTAAGATTCCATTGAAAACTCAAGCCATTCTAAATCTGGATCTGAGTTTGTATTTTGCATCGTGGAACCATCTCTAATGAAAGGTCACTTATATTTAAGTAACACTTTTCTGATAAATATAATGGCAAGCATTCTGAACTTTTACCAAAGTCTGTAAAAAACCCTTTGCAGGAATAATAGCATACCTATTTCATATCTATTGTACTTCAGAATAGTTTTGGGATTGGTTTGGATTAATTTACTAAAATATGTTTGCCAAAAAGCATCATGATGTACTAGGAATTACTTACAGTATGCAAAAAGCAGATGCAAGCACATGGGATTGTTTATAAATGCGTCATAATTCTTCCAGCAGATCTGTATGGTGCCTCTTGATTCAGGCATCTGCATGGACAGTCAGGTTCTGATAGATGCGTCGAAATCAGAGTTTGTGCACACACAAAGAGAAAGGAAAATGTGATGCATCTAATTAACAATAATTTTGTTTTCCTGTAATATGTGTCTTGGGAAAAAGTAGTGGAGGGTTGCTTCATGATTATTCAGTAAGTTCCTTTCATGCAATTTATTTTGTCTCAAGTTACCATTGCTTGCTTGTGGTCTGAGTTGTTTCTAATGGCTCCTCAAAAGGGGAAGTGCTTTCATAGCCATGTGTCTCATCTGCTACGAGGAATAAACAAAAGCAAGCCTTGCAAGAGTGCAACGAAGTGCTGAAGAAAAGCAAGCTGTTGTAACCTGAGTTCAAATTATCTTTGCTTGAACTTCACCAGTTTATGATCATTGGGCCTTGAGATCAGTAGTCTTTGCAAGTGAGCATTTGAAAACAGCCAATATTTGTTACTATGTGAAAACAGGGTGAGAAATGACATGTGTCTGTTCAGCTGCCACTGCGGATAGAATGAACCTAGCATTTAGAGTATCTTTTCATGTCAATGACAGAAATTTCTGAGATTGAAATATTACAATTGCATTATCACATGCAATAAAAAACACAGGGACAGTCATGCTGAGAGAAAAGGCTGGGCACCTCCCTTTAATGCTTCTCTCAAAGGTGCTGCTTGCTGAATCAAGAAATGTTCAAATGTTCAACACAGTTTCCTGTGATCAGTTCCTATCTTGTTTCATATCTGGAGTGGCATATAGGTGATGTCTCTATAATTAATGTACTTTTTAATGTGAAATTTGAGTTAATAAAATAATGGTTAAAATGTTTTATTTGCTATGTTAGTTTTTAACTAATTAAGCATAATAAGAAGCTCTACTCAGCTGCTTTGTAGATGCATTCAAGAAAATATACTTGTGGGTTCAAATGAGGGGTTTGGGACTTGAACAGTTAGTGCATTTCCAACAGCAGGAAACGGGGTTTACTTGGGTGAATCCCTAAAATAACCCTCATCATGCATAGTATTCACAGGGAAGCCGAGGGAAGCAAAGCTAAGACAACAGCCAACACAAAAAGAGTGTGGGACGATGCTGCGAAAACAGTTAACAAAGCTGTCAAGTGAAATCACTTATTTTCAGCAGCATGGTATAAAAAGGGCAGCAAATGTCTAGGTTTATTTCTTCATACTGAAATGCATTGTCTTTCGAAAGATAGTGTACCTTTAGGAGAGGACATTCTACTTATATATACATAAATATGTATATGTATAACTAAATATAGATATATGTATAGTTATACATGTAATAGAAATTTTCTTAGCCATCTGTCTGCATTGTGGTATCATCTAACAAACAAAACATGGCATTGATGGATTCCATACACATTTTTTTACAATTAACAAATCCGGCTTAGCACTACTAGCAAGGCACATCATCTCTTCTGATGTGCATGATAGACTCACCAGATATTCTTGGATCTGGATTATTGTGATAGAAAAATAATTTTGGTATATTTGAAAACCTTGCACATCTTTGGCTGAATACAAGTTGACAACTCATGGTGGTCTGAAAACAGCATTACTACCTAATATAATCAAGAGTTCCCTGAAACGAATGAGAAATCCATTTGGAAAAGATAATAAATGAATGTTTACTAGAATTGTGCAGGGATGGTAAAGGAATTCTTAAATTCAATCAGAAGACCTCTAGCCTCGTTGCAATTAAAAGGATTATTGTGGCAGACATTGCCATAGCAGTTTCAATGACAATTTAGACTGCATGCTTACTGTAAGCATCTATTTTCAACATTAGGGTCCAGGAGAACAAAATAACGATGTTAACTAGATGCAGGAGAGTTTTCTTCTAGCATGGCAGCTGGCACTTGGTCTGACCAAGGCTCTGCTTGCTTTGTTCCATAAATCTATCGAACCAATTTATTAGAGCTGGCAGGCAGAATTTCAAGTATACAAAATTGTAGTCACTTTTTCAATGTAGATTTTAAACACTTTTTTTCTGCAAGGCCTATGTTTACTCTGTGTGTGTGATGCAGAATTTCTCAGCAGTCCATGAAATTACTCTTTTGGATGCTAATTAAGTTTTCATTTTTATGTTCTTATGTCTTCTGGATGTGACAGATAACACATAGGAAGCATGTGATAAATATGCCAAAAGGTTTAAAAACTTTCGGAAGCTCTAGAGTCAGGGTGGGCTATCTAGTTTACCCAGTGCTGAGATGTTTTCCTTTTCAGGCAAGAGATTTGAGTGTTGATTTTTCTGGGGCTTATGCTAGTGCTTTAAGTTAGGCACACACTCAATCACTTTGTGGAATGAAAGCCATAAGTAGCACTAAGTAGCCCATCTCCTGTATGTACTGTAATCAAATAAAACGGGTAACTAAAAAGGAGAAAGATGGCAGTTCTCATTTGGTTCTCCCCACATAAGAGAATTCACAACAACAAATGGAAATGCTGCCCAGCTAGGATATTACAAACAATTCTTGAACAAACTTGTTCTTTTTCATAGCAGAACTTTTGTTGACATGTTTTATCTTTCCTTTCTCTAGGCAGCGCAACTCAGGTTCTAAAAGAATGGAATATGACAGGGAAAAAGAAGGTAAGAACTTGCTCTTGAGACTCGAAGCAGAGAGCTGAAAAATGGTCTGGATGTAGTTGAATGTAGCACTTTTATTTTGGCCAGTGCTTTGTCTGTCGTTGCTAGCATAGGTAACTTCTTTCACACCTGTAGTCAGAAAACTTGAAAGCAAATGTGCGTATTATTTTTAATCCTGTTCATCTGTTGCTGTCTCTCTACCCCACTGTTCTCAGGGAATTTCTAGTTCAGCACACGTGTGTATACATGTGTGGGAGCCAGACCCTGAACAAGTACAGAACAAATCCCAAAACACCCCACGTACAGAACACTTTTAATAAGGAGTTGTATCCTGGATAGGCACAGCCACTTAAGTGCTAGAGTTTTTCCTGCCGGGTGTAAAAATAACTTATGCATAGGAGTCCTCCATTAGGAGTCGTGCATTAGTGACACTAACAAGTCACATACTTAAGTATGTGCTTGGGATATGATCTTCATGCTTATGTATCTTCAAGCCAAAGCTGTGTCAGGAGGCTGCCTGTGAGTCACTGTCATGGAGGCTTCTCTTTATGGTTGTGAGAACTACAATAGCAGTGGCCAACGTATGTGCTCTGTGATCACTTTCTGCCTGATTAGAGTGATGCCCTAACCATTTGGCTGTGTTTTCTGTGTGGATGTCTCCAAGATGGTTAGGAAGTACTACTAGGTGACTGCAAACATTATGAGCAGTTTCTTAGCAAAGGTTCTGCTACCATTTTGCAAGGCAAGTATTTTGGAAGGGGAAAACCAGTTAGGAGCTTCAGGTTTTATTTGAAATGTTTTGTATATTCAACTGAGCAGATACAATGTAACGCAGCACGGCCTGTGAATTGCATTACGTTGATTTCACTTGTATGGGCTTCTAAAAGCATGGACAACTTACTGATTATAATTGAGTTTATATAAGTTGCACTGAGTGATGTCTCTCTTCTTGCAATGTTTCTCTGTTCAGAACAATAGGAGAAAAAGAAGCAAATCTAAACAGCACCAAGGCAATAAAGATCCTAAAAATAAGAATGGTGGACCTGAGAAGACATCACAAGAGCCGCAAGGAATATATGGCTGCCACCTGAATGGATGCTCTAAGGACAACTCTTGCAGTGGTTCTGCCAGTCAGAAACTGGAAGCCTCTTCTCTTGAGAACAAAGGATCAGGATTTGTAGAGTCTGTGCCAGTCTATCCAGAAATCAGAGGTCAGTTCATCTCACACAAGATACTATTTTAACTGGCAATAGCCAAGCCCCCATTTACATAAAAAGTCATGGTATTTTTATTGCCATAATACAGAATATAGTAAAAAGAAGTTGGAGAGACATGTTTGTGCAAAGTAATGCAAGTAGCTATTAAAGTCATGCAAGCAGATCTATATCTGGTCACAATTCAGGGTCTAGTGGTAGACAGTAACAAAGAAGGTTCTTCCTCACTGTGTTGTAGTAGGTACAGAGTAATGATTACAGCAACATTAATGAAAACAAACCTTTTCCTCTGGGGCAGAAGCTCTGTGGAAGCTTTTGCCTTCAACTATCCTTTCATAAAGTTCATATTTAATTGCTGTGAGTACTGGTAATGGTTTTTCAGCTCTTTGCATTTCAAACTTCTGCCAGCCCTAGATTATTGCTGCTGTTAGTATTTCCTTCCTGTGTCTTAAGCAGTATGTAAGAATGCATTAAAAGAACTTCTCTTGAAATTCCTTTCTCCGTGATTGCAAATACAGCTCTGAAACCTCATTTTAAAGGAATGTGCCAAATGGATAATTGTCCTGAAATGAGTTCTCTGATGCTTCCAGATTACTTTGATAGTGCCAACCTCTGGTTTAATTAAATGAAAGCTGTACAACATATAGCAGCCAAATAGATGAACTACTTATGAAGAAATTTTGTGCTAGAAATTTGGCACCTTGCAAAACACCAGAGATACTCTTCCCACCCTTGCTAAAGATACCCACTTACTTTATATAGAGTACGCCATAAACCTGAAAATCATGCATTTCCATAATACTAAATGCATTCTTGCCACTTAGTCTGCAAGATGTAAACATTTGTGGCATAAATATGTGTCAAACGTCTTAGAGCTGTTTTTTTTGAAACAATGCATGCATGAATAAAGATACATAGACTGAATAGTCCATGCATGGGGATTGTTTTCTAGAGCGTAACAGACCTGAATGCAAGACAAGTACACGTGCTCTTAGTGATCTTTTTCAGTGGCATTGTGTTTGAGTCCTTTTTCTCCTTGGCATGATACAGTGTAGAGTTGTACATGCCAAGGGCAAAAAGCATCTCAGAATCTTTCTTTGCTTTTACAAGTGACAAATGAGATATTACCATAGCTGTACAATTTTTATAAACTTTTATACAAAAACCTAGTAATTGGCCTTTTCAAAAACAGGCAGGGGGAGAGAGAAAATAAAAGAAAAAGGTGGAAAAGAAAAAAAAAAGAAATTAAGAGAAAGGAAACCCTGAAACTTTCATATTATTTTTTTCCTTGCATAGTAAAATAAGCTTCTGGCAATTAGTTTAATATTGAGAAGGAAAGAGTTCCTTCACTTTCAGGCGCACTAAAATCCTGGTCTTTGCAGCCAGTATAATAGCCACTTTCTTAAAGGTCAAAACCAACCTATGTACATATTGTTAAATTTGTTCTGAAGTGCATGGAACTAAATAGAAGAGAAGGGTGACAAGGATCCATCAGGGGCTAGCAGCTGCACTCCTGTAGTTTCTGAGTGAGTCACACAGACTGTTCTAAAGCAGTTTGAAATGCTGAAGTGAGTCCAAAGAGCCCCCGTTTTATATTGTGTTGTAACGTCCTTTGTTTTGTCCTTGTCTGGCTTGTTTGTTTTGGTTCCTTCCTTATCAAATTAATGTTACTGTAGTCATTTCACAGTTTAGAAGGACCATAGTCAGGTGTCTGCTGAGAGTCCCTTATGCTTTCCTCCGTATGAGGAACATGAGATTGAAGCTTTGCTTATATCAGCTCACAGTCTGTGAGATTAGGTCTTTCAGAGCCATAAAATCCTGGCTGCCTGGAAGTGACTGCAGGGACTAGAAGGGAGGATGTGGTGTAGCTGGCGTTTCTCTGTAACGTGTCCCATGCTAGAAAATTACATGGGGCAATATGTGGCAGTTACCTTTAGTTCAGGTCTGCTTATTTCATTCCAGTATTCCATCTTTCTTTTTCCGAGAAGTCTTTAGTTACTACTTTTTTGTGTAATGGTTTCCTAAGACCTGCTAGAGAAAATGAAGCACGGAATTCAAGGCCCTGGAAAGCCAAATTGTCTCATCATGGAGTGCCTTAGGCAGTGTTTCACTTAATTATGAGTGTATTCAGGGGCTCTCCCTCTCAGTATCTGGAAGGGGGAAAGGCCCACAATAAACCAGATTACTTCAAAATGACCACAGTAAACCCTCCAACTCTCCTCCTTAGACTGCTTGGCAACACAGGGTCCGAAGGACTTACAGCTGCCCTTTCTGTGTGTCCTCATGTAAAGACGGGGCACAAATGCATTGAAAGAATATTTAATGCTGCCTAGCCAGGCTATTGCTTTTGCAGGGACTTGGGTAAAACCGGATACAAATCAGATACTGATCTCTTTCCAACTTCTTAAAATTGTTTTTCATGTAAGATGATTTTTAGTGAATCTGTCAAACTTCCTGTTTATATCTCAAGGGAGCTTTTTTTCTTCTTTCAGCCAAAGAATCCATTGAGGTTCACTTTATTTTAAAGGTTTTGAATGGCAAGCTGTTATAAAAAGATAAACTTCTCATTTTGAAGATAGCAGCTCAGCAGATTTCAAAGCAAGTTTATTTGGGCTGCTGCCATTACTGGTAGGTCTGGTAATACTTGATGGTTAATACAGCAGAGGTCGCACATTAGACTAGTTCCAAGCCACCGCATACTGAACCCTGCACCAGTTTACTTGTAGCTAGTATTACCCAAACCTTTGGCTTCTTTTTCAAGTGTTTGAGATAGACTTTGTCCCTGGATTTTGTTATACATGTTTTTTTAGCTGGCCCAAGTCTTCAGAGATTTGATGCAGACTTTCTCACAGAATCAAAGAATTGTAGGGGTTGGAAAGGACCTTCAGAGATCATCTACTCCAGCCCCACTGCTAAAGCAGGTTCATGTAGAGCAGGCTAGACAGGAATGCATCCAGGCACGTTTTGAATATCTCCAGAGAAGGAGACCCCACAACTTCTTTGGGCAGCCTGTTCTAGTGCTCTGGCATCCTCAAAGTAAAGAATTTTTTTGCATGTTCAGACGGAACTTCCTGTGTTCCAGCCTATGTCCGTTGCCTCATGTCCTGTCATCAGGCACCACTGAAAAGAGCCTGACCCCATCATCTTGACACCTGCACTTTAAATATTTATAAGCTTTGATGAGGTCCCCTCTCAGTCTTCACTTCTCCAGGCTAAACAGACCCAGGTCTCTCAGCCTTTTTCAGTTTTTTAAGTTTTTTAGTTTTAATTGTCCTCAATCAAATTTGAAAGTTCAGTTGCAGCATACGAAGGTATTGATTGCTAGGCTGTGGTGCTGGGTTTCAAAGTAGCTGATGTGTCACTTTGGAAGAAACAGCATCAAAATACATTGCAGACAAAAGATGATTTAAAAGTTTTAAGAGTATAACCATTGTTCTAGATTAATTTCATTGATTAATGGTAATTATCTCAGAACAGAGTTCCTGGCCATGTGTGAGACTGGTATCTGCACTGAAACTTTAATACGTTCGGTGTGCTGCATACCTGGTGTTTCTTGCTTTCACAGATACACAGGTTTCTTTAACTTCATTAGGAATTTTCTTAAATACTGTTTTATGTAAGATACTTTTTCTGTTTGCAGACTCACCATTTAAAGCCCATAAACAGAAGCTGGTTTAGAAATGTGTGCACTAATAGTCTTCCCTGTTCCTCTGGCATTATGTGATTGCCATGGAAACGTATCAGGATGTAATTTAGACCAGTCCTAGTGCCCACCTGGGGCAAAAAGAGGTCATTAGTTGATTTCCTGGAGTTGCCCAGGCAGTATCCCTCAATAGTAGCAGTGTTAATCCCACTCCATGGGCTATAATCCATCTGGTAAGGAACTGACAAGCCTTTTTTCTCCAGACATCACATAACATCAGCTGAATAAAGTTATGCATAAAGAGCATCGTCAGAACAGACTATCATTCATTCACCAAAGTGAGAAGAAAGATTAGGAAATGTTGTTAACACAACAAATCATTTTCTATGCATGTTTCCTTAACCAAAATTCATAGTGGCAGTAATAGCTGGCTTTACCTGTTAGTCTCATAGCCATTCTTTGGCTTCTTGTTCCTCTGTTGTGGTGCTGGTATCTTGAATCCTTTTGGAGTCTTGGAAAGAGTAAACCAGGTCATCTTGCAGCAGCCAAACAGGCTCAGTCATTTTTACCTTCTCACTTTGAAACTGTGGAACCCAGGAGACTAATCTTTGACATTTCCTGCTTAGTCCCTCTTAGCAGCTGCTTTTGATAGAAATCTGTAGTCAGGCAAAGTATTTCAGGTAGGAAAGTTTTTTCTTTTTTAGACTGTTGAAACATAGACATGTTCAGATGAGTGTTTAATAACCAAAACCATATTGTTTCTGTTCTGTCATTGGTTATTTTCTGAGGCTCTGTAGCATGCATGCTAGTGGGAAAAAACCCACTAGTTTTTCCAGTGTATAAACATAAAGTCATTCAGACTCAACAATAGGGCTTCTTATCTTTCTTAGTCTTGTAACTCCCTGTTTTCTACCTTAATGTTTTCTTGCAGACAATGAACGAGAACACCAGAGAGTATCTGTGGAATTAAACCCAAAGATTATGAATGGAGTAGAACAGCATGAGTCTCTTCAGTCATCAGTTCAACTCCAGTGTAACCTAGGCAGGCCAAAGTCAAAATCTTCCTCTGTTAAATCATCCAGTGCTACAACCCAACTCGAAACAAAAACAGATGATTCAGTCAAAAAAAGAGGTAAATTGTATCCCTGGTTGCTGTGTGCTGAGGTGATCAGACAGCTGATGATGCCTCTAGGAAAAAAAAGCACGTATGTGAAGAAGAGTTGTGTTGGAAAGTAAGAGCAGAATCATGTTCAGCGTAAATGAATTGAACCATTTATGGTCTATTTAACATTATATTAAATGAAAATGGTCTATTTAACATTATATTAAATGAAAATTAAAATAAATGATTAATAGTGCTGTTTTAACAGCTACTTGATTTGGGGAATGAATTTGAGCAAACGTGTTTAGAAACTGAGGAGCACCATGGAAGGGCTATGGCAAAGTTGGATTTATGGACTTCAGTAGGAAAACTGCTTCATCCTTATCTGGTCAAATAACCTGTTGAACTATTCCTGCTCCTTTATTCAGAAAAACCAAAACCAGCTTTCTGACTTCTGTGCAATTTTTGTTTTCTATTTTAGGGCCAAATATTGAAAAATCAGTAAAAGACTTGCAGCGTTGCACTGTTTCTCTAACCAGATACCGTATGATGATCAAAGAGGAAGTGGATAACTCTGTGAAGAAGATTAAAGCTGCTTTTGCAGAATTACACAGCTGGTAGGTAAATCACCTTGAGAGATCCGTCAGCACCACCTGAGAAAAGAGGGGCTAATCAGGCCACTGGCATTGGGGGGCTGTGTGTGTGGTCATTTACCCCGTTCGTTTGCAGCATTTGGTTTTCATCAAAAAAATATGTGGTGCCATTAAGTAACTCCCTTGCCAACCAGAAAGTGTAATACAGACATAAGCGTATGTTTACATACATACATAAAGGGGGACAAAACTACAGTTCTTTGACAAAATCACACTATGGTTTGGGTTTTTTCCCCCTAGGTGATCCATCTTGACCTAATTCTTTTGTATCAAGTTCAGTGGCAGCGTATCTGAGCAAATGAGAGCTTTTCCAAAAATCCTGCTTATGAGGTTTTCTGAAGTCTCTTTTGCCATCTTTAAATCTCTTCTTTCTATACGTTTACTTTGATCTTATCTTCTTTGGCAGCCAGTCCTTTACTGGCTCTTTTTTTTTTCCCTTCATTTCCCATCATCTTCCCATCCCCTTCTATCCCATGATTCTTTTTTTTTCTTTCCCTCAAAGTTTCTTCTACCTTTTTCATCCATCACTTCACTTCCAGTTCTCATCTCTAGTTCATTGTTTTTCTTTATTAATTCTTCCTTTTTTCCAAACTTTTTCCTCTATAATTTTGGTTATTCCTGATCTTCAGTATATATGTCTACACTATTTGAAAAACTGTAGCAGAAATAATTGCTGTAGTAGCAAGTTGCACATTTTGTATATACTTGTCATAGAGAAACATTTTCTGGTTTGAGTTTTACTTGGCATTTTGTTAAGCATAGATACCATATAAAACCTGTGTTTCATACAGTGTTGCAGTAAGCAGAAAAAGTCATTAAAATGTACAAGATTCAGTCACAAATCGCAGAAGCGTACAGAAACCTTTCACCCTTAATTTGTCCCAGAAACCTTTCACCCTTAATTTGTCCACAACATTTGTCAGTATTTTTGTGAGCATATCTTATGAAAATGCTGTAGCATTGGCAGAAGTTTAACTCTGGACTTTAGTGGTATATTCATTGTTTTCAATGTTGCATCTAAAGTGACTTTGGGGCCACTGGGACTCCACTTCTGTGTGAGGAGAATGTCCAAGTGCTACCGAGCTGATTTTGTGGAAGATTCTGTTTCAGTGAGCCGCTGGTATAAATTACTGTCTAGCAGGGAGAACTTCGTTTCTTTCTCTGCACTCCAGTGAGCATGGGCTGTGATAACCAGTTGCACTAAACTCTGTATTGTTGTCAGGAGTCCTCTGGAGCCATTGTACCAATGTTTGCTTAAGACCTAAAATGCAGTAGTTGTAGTATTGGTATATGAAAATTAAGTCAATTCATCAACTTCTTGCCCTTTTTGGTGGTTCTTAGAGGTGCCTTTGTATGATTTTAGAAAACTTATAAAATATTTATGGTTTCTGCTCAGAAGGCTCTGGCCTTTTCTCTGAGTAAACTCATAGTTGGGTCTCATTTGTTGTGTAGTTCTCCCTCGTTTGTTTTTTTGTAACAGTGTTAAAATATGTAATGTCACAAGTCTAATCTTGTTTGCAGTCAGTCACAGTCAATTAGATCTTTAAATGATGGTCGCTCTGGTCATGAAGCAGGCTTAGAACTCTATCTTGATCTAAGAATGTGGGGAGAGGTGCTATATTAGTAAAATCAGAATGGAAAGTCATAATTTTTCATGTATTGATGTTTTACTTAAAAAAACTAAAGCGTATTGCCTGATGCTAAAATTTGTTACTTAATAGGTGAGCTTAATAGGCAAAAAAAAAAAACACAAAACAGACATATGACCCCCAAAAGAGCATGTAAATCCAAGTAGACTTAAAATGATGAAAAATAGCCTGAAAAAACTTTTGCATAGGCTTCATTTAATTTTACCTCCCATCAGCTTCGGTGCCTAAATCGTTGGAGTGGAGTCTGCAGAAGCTCTAGAATGTAACAGATCTGTGTTCTGCATATTCAGGCTTCACAAAGCAATTTCATGCACGTAGCATAACATTGCAACAAGGACAGTCTAATGTCAGGACATGTTTATGGAAATCTGAGTGCAGGCCACGCTGCTTTCAGTAGCTCATAAGCCTGATATTTTGGTTTTTCCTCGAACGAAAGGAAGACTAGGTTTGTACAGCAAAACGTGACTTAACACCCTCTTTGCTAAAATTAAAAACAGGTTTTGGATATTTCATATGACCTTGTGGATTAAACTCTGAAAAATATGGGAAGACCTGTCTTTAGTGCCTCATTTACAAAAACTTGCTGCCAACTGCTGTAGATTCACCGGATTTGAGTAGAAATCACCAGAGCCAGTGATACATGCAAATTCAGACCTAGTATAGTCAACACATCATATTCCTGGGCTGAATGGCATTTACAGTTATTTACGTGGCAGTGTCCTTGCTTCAAAGTTGAACAAAGCATCACTAGTGCTAGTGGGAGGATAAGGTAATGACGTGAACACTCAGCTTCTTGCATATTTATCAACCTCCTTGGGCAAGGGAATTTTTCTGTGGCACAGTCAACTTGTCTATCAAAGGAAAATGAAGGAATTCAGCTAAGCTGTTGCTCCCAGAATGCTATGGAGTAACCAAAAGCAAGGCCACAACAATGGTATTTGGTCTTCTTTGGTACAGTGATTCCAAAGGTTTTTGCAAGGTGTTCTCCCACTTGCTGCTGAAGTGCGACTTGTTGAGATGTACAATAGATAAACATACAACAGCAACTAAGTGCTGTCTGTGATCAGAACTTGCAGAAAATACTTGAATGAGCTCAGTAATGTAACTTAGATGGGAGCTTAACCAGTTCCTGTTACGCATGGCTGTCACCACCTAAAGGGTTTTAGTGAAGCTAAGTGAAGTCAGAAGCTTTAGTCTTGCATTGCAACCGAATACTGAAACACATACTACTTTCTGTTGTCTCTCTTGGGTTTATTTTTCTTTTTATTCCTTTAGCAGTAGGATGAAAGACCTTTTTTGCATTTACTATCAGGGTCAGAATCAAAACTGCATTTCAAGAGTCTGTAATCTTTTGGACTTTCTCATAATTTTTTTTTTCTAACCTTGTCATGATTTTACTAATCACAGAAAAGATCAAGATGTGCAAAGATAACATCATGTATCTTCCTCCTACCCTGAGATAGCACATTAAACTATTATTATGGAGATAAATGAATAGCACATGTGGCCTAAGATGTCCTGAAAGCTTCTACAGAAAGATTCACAAGAACTTTTCCTTTTAGCAGCAGAAACTGTTGGGTGATAGTTGCCAGTGGAAGTCCACATCTCTGTCTGGCTCAGTATTTCATAGCTTGACCTAATCGATGAAGGGAAGTTACTCCTGAGCACACTCAGTGAGTACTATGCTGCAATTTAAAAAGTCACATACCTGGCAAAACAGTGCATGCTGCTATCACATAATCTAAAAAACTAGTAGTATGGAGCAAATGTGCTGTGAACACTTGTTCATGCTTGAAAAAAATCAAATGCTTGCTTCCAGTTTTAACTTTCTAATGAAACGGGGCCAAAAAGCAACCCCAGAAAGATGTTTGTTTACAAACACTTCAGTGGGCTCACTTTCTCTTTCTTAAAGAGCATCCCAGGGGTTCCTGCTAACTGGAGTAATTATCTGCATGCTCAGAACAGGTGATAATGACTTGTTTTTGTACAGTGCTTTTCATGCCAGAAGACACCAGAGCATTTTACAGGCCATGGGCTGGACCAGGCAGTGCACTTAGACCCACTCAGTGAGAAAGCTTTTGCAGTCTTGTGGGTAGTGCTGCTTCTGTGACCTAGCACTTGTGTCACCCCTGCTTTTGCAGGGCTTTTTATGTCATTGCTTTCCCCAAGACTATGGGAGCACTGAGCAGAGTAAGCTGAAGGGCAGTGTTTCTCAGACTCATGAAAGCTACAAGGAATATCCTTCTTACAGTACTCCCTGAGCAAATATTTCTCATTCCATCCAGCTTTGGTGTATGGTTGTCAGGAATACCTTTGTGTGAATGAGAATATAAGCTGCTCCCCTTATTGCTTGGATGTAAAACATGTCAGAGCATAGCCACATCTCACAGTGTAGGGCAAGGAAAAAAAGAATACCAAAAGGGCTTAAATTGCAGGGGAAGGTCAGAAAAGCTAGGTGAACTCCCCTCACAATAGAATGCACGAGACATTTGTTGCCATGGTTAAAACCTGTGTGCTATAATTGTGTTCTCACTTTTCCACCAAGAATAATCGGCTTGGGAACAAAAAGAGAGCCCCAGGAAATCTGAGTGAAATGTGTAGAGCACAAGAGGAGCCACAGTTCTTCATAGCACGTCTTGCCAGAAAATCATTTTCACATATTGGGCATCCACACAGCCCTATGGAGTACTAAAAGGAAACATCTGCTGCTTGCCCATGCGATCTGCTTCCAAACACAAATGGTCTGTAGAAAATAGTAATGGCCAGGTTTAATTACACTGCATGCAGAACTGGACCAAAGAAAGGCAAGCCTCCTCTACTCTTTGTAGCTCAAACACATTAGTATGTCCAATGCTTTATAAAAAGCATGGACAACCAGCACAATCGAGGATTATTTTTTTTTTTGAGTGAACAAAAAGCACTTGGAAGCTCCATCATAGGCTGGATAAAAAAAATTGACTCTGACGTAATGCTGGAAAAACAGAGTTTGGCAATACTAACAATTTAAATATAAATTAAAATACATTTAGGGAACAACTAGGAAGCATGTACAGTATGTTTGGGGGAGATAGAAAACAACAGGAAAAATGGCTTTAAGTTAAAATCAAAGCAGAGGAGTCATCACCCAATTCTGGGTGATGAGCAAATCTGCCAGTGCTCAGGGTTGCAGAGCAGTGAGTGAACACAGTCATCCCCTTTCTGGAGCTCCTACTTGGCAAACTGTAAAGATGATGGCTTTCCGTTTCACATAGCCCAGAATCAGTGCCATCAGATGAAGAGCTGCCTGTGTGTGTTAGTTTAGAGCATGGGCAGATG